GGCCTGGAATAGTGCCTTTTTCGCCTAAAAGTTTATCGGTTTTTCGATATGTATAACAACTGTAGTGGGCTGACCTGCAAACAGGCGTCGGCAACAATCACGAATGCGGCGCACATGTGACAATAAGCAAAGGGCATTATAGAGTTACGACGTACGGGAATGAGATATCAGCTGTCTTATCGTAGGCAACACAATGTCGAACTTAAACTGTAAGCCTGTATTGGTATTGTTTCTTTAATTTGGCTGTCGAACATTAATTTATGGTTTGAAATATGATTTTATGTAAAATAATGGATATGAAACAGCCCTCTCTTAAGTAATGACCCCATTTCACCACACGGAAGTGGCAGCAATGACAATGATCAGCTGACGCATTTTTCTCGGCCGAAGTCAGAGCGCGCGGCCCGACGCACCACGCGTATTTGGAAATTCCGACCTCGACGAGCATCAGAAGCCACCTAACAGGCGTGTCCGAAACCGCAGGAGATGATGATGAACGGGTTTATCGAAACTTGATTGGATGAGCCTATCGGTAATAGCGATTTTAGTGTGTGCATTTATTGTTCATAGTGGTGTGAAATGTTGTTGGGGTACGACCGACAACCCGTCGGGGCGAATTTCGCACTGGGGTACTCAAAATTTGAAGAATTTAAGACGTTTCCATGAGTTTTGAAGGTATGGATAAGTTCTAAAAATCCGGTTCTCCTTATCCGGATCATTAACTCCATACGGTGCAGGAAAGCTGGCACACTACCTTTAACTGATATTTAATATTCAGTTTGATATTCTGCACAAAGCGCGTGATATTTTCTAACAACATTTATGCATTAATTTCTTACGATAGATTTCTCGCCGATTGGTAGGACAGATAAAGTACGGGTCAGGTAAATCAAGTCAAGCCTACGGTCAACACCTTATTTAACGTCTTCCTGTGTTGGTTTTTACGTTCTGTACCTCCTATATGTCTCAGTATAATCCATTGCGTGCAAATCATTTGCATCGTAGTGCACCCTGTAGTAAGACACCAACGGTATTCAACCCAGCTACGACTGTTGCCCACATTTAGCAGATTATCAGTTTATACCCTAGCATATCATAGCATCACACCAGTAGCACGCCTATGTACCTCTGTTGTTACAGACACACACGGGTGAGCGGCCTTTGAGCTGTGAGATCTGCGGACAAACTTTCCGATGGACCTCACATCTTACCGACCACCTCAGGCGTAAGTAGTAACGGAAAATGTGAGATGTTACGGGGTGGAAAATGTGAGATAGTCTCAGGGAATGTGAGACAGTTACTTACTAGGGAAAATCGAGTTTTGTGGGTTACGGATGGAAATATGAGACAGCTATGACACCAAGGTAAATGCGAGATGCTGTTACCGGCCGAATTATAAATGTGCGGTAGTCAAACTGTGAGATAATGATGGGCCGGCGGAAATCTCAGATAGTGAGCTATGTGCTACTGACTGGGCTGCTGCTAACGAACGAGCTTAGAAGAGCGAGCGAGCGAGCGAGTTAAAGTGCGGTTTATGTTTTCTACTTTCGATATATTTTACTTTAAAGGTCACTAAGTTGGGGTTTCAACGCTCGCTTGTTATGAGCTTTTTACACTCCGTACTTCTGTATGTATAGTCGACTACAGAATGATGTTCCACTTTTCACAGGCAATTATTTGCCTGGAGTGGTAGGCTGTGCCGCATCACACGGGCTGAGTTCACAAATTACAGCTTTGTCCCAATGCTCACAATCGACACGCTTAATTGCGTGATAAACGGTACAACTTAGCGCTCCGGTCAACTGATAGCTTCTTAGGAGTGGAACATCATTCTGTAGTCGACTATACCCTGTAGTGCCTCCCTACATTACCTCCATAAATAACTGTCAGTGACATGTAATGCGTGCCCTGTTCTTAGGACACAAGAACGAAAAGCCCTTCATCTGCAGTATATGCGGAAAAAGCTTCGTGTCGGGCAACGTGTTCAAGGGACACATGCGCACGCATACCGACGAAAAACCCTACATGTGCGGGGTAAGTGAGAATATGAAACCCTACGGCCTACATATGTGGGGTAAGTGAGAATACAAACCCTACTGTGAGGGGTAAATGAGAATATGAAACCCTACATGTGCGGGGTAAGTGAGAATATGAAACCCTACATAGGCGGGGTGAGAACATAAAACCCTACATATGCGGGGTAAGTGGGAACGAAAAACCCTAGTCGTGTGGGGTAAGTGAGAATAGAAAACCCTACATGTGTGAGGTGAGTAAGAATATAAAATCCTACATATGCGGGGTAGATAGAAACGAAAAACCCTACATATGCGGGGTAAGTGACCTGAACATAAAACCCTACATTTGTGGGTTGAGAATATAAAACCCTACATGTGCGGGGTAGATGGAAACGAAAACCCCTACATGTGCAGGGTAAGTGCGAACGAAAAACCCTACATGTGCGGAGTAAGTGGGAACGGAAAGCCGTACGTTGGTGTGATAAGCGGGAACGTAAAAGCCTATGGGTAAATGGCCGAAGTGTACAATGGTTGCGATTGCCAAATGATATGAACATCCACGTGATTAAATATTGAAGATTGACGACAGCCTTTCTGACGATGTCTGCTGTATTTACTGCATATTACATCAAAATCATGACTATAACGTTTATCTAACTCCCTTCTCTTTTGACAGGTCTGCGGGAAACAGTTCCGCGATAGCAGTAACCTCCGAAAACACGAGTGGGTTCACTCGGACAAACGGCCACATCGCTGTGAGCCCTGTAATCGGGGCTTCCTTACCACCAGCGCATTGAAGGTACACAACCGTACTGCGCACGGGGAGAACGCAGCGAAAGGAAAGAAAAAGGGCAGCGCAGTCAATACTGTGGGATGAGGGCAGACGCGTTGTGAATGGGGTGTGATGATAGAAAGTATTTAAAGTCAGGGAGTATTGTGTATTGTGAGTGACAAAGAATCGGTCTTCGTTTTGCAAAGACCATCTATTTTTATATGTTCACTATGAGTATTTTGTATTGTTTTGGACGCTGCTTTCGTGCTACGTCACTTGTTTTGAAGAGTGCGTTTTGTCGATCTAGAAGACATGACATTTTGTTTGAATTTCTTGTATATTTTTTACATTGACTCATCGCGCCAAAGACTGCTGATGGAAAGTAATGCCGTCATTTTGGCGATCCTGTTCAGTTATTTAATGTCATCAACATTGATGTCGTTATGCCATATCATTATGTCAATGTTTCGATGTGCCAGTCACTGTCAATCAGTTTTTGACTCGCGGTATTTCAAACAGTCTTCGATTAACAACCATCTACTGTTGTCCTGAGCTGCTGCTGTTGTTTCAACCTTTTATACTGTGTACGCCGGTTGTGTTATGCTCGGCTTTGCGAGGCAATGTATTGCCTCACAACATCTCGCGGCTACAATGGGATGTTGCATTTCATGCCAAATTGACATGAGGCCATATGTCGGTACCATGTAATACGAGCCTCGTATACCGTTCGATATTTGCGGGCTTCTGCGTGTCATGTAGTATTCTCGGTAGATATTGCACATCTCGCTAAAAGTACAAATAAACGTGTGTAGTTATTATTAATGTTATTGGTGCTCGTTTTTTATGTCTATGATGGAATTCGCCACATCGTGTTCGCGTGTTCCTGAGTTTTCTTGGTTTATGTACAAATCAAATTCAGGGTTTTGATCTTTTGGTAAGCAGTTTCTTGTCGATTAATGATGACTTCCTTAGTTCAATTCGAATTTCTCTTAAAGGTAGTGTGCCAGCTTTCTTGGACCATATGGAGTTAATGACCCGGATAAGGAGAACCGGATTTTTATAACTTATCCATACGTTCAAAACTTATGGAAACGTCTTAAATTCTTCAAATTTTGAGTACCCCAGTGCGAAATTCGCCCCGACGGGTTGTCGGTCGTACCCCAACCACATTTCACACCACTATGAACAATAAATGCACACACTGAAATCGCTATTACCGATATGCTCATCCAATCAAGTTTCGATAAACCCGTTCATCATCATCTCCTGCGGTTTCGAACACGCCTGTTAGTCCAAATACGCGTGGTGCGTCGGGCCGCGCGCTCTGACTTCGGCCAAGAAAAATGCGTCAGCTGATCATTGTCATTTCTGCCACTTGCGTGTGGTGTAATGGGGTCATAACTTAAGAGACGGCTGTTTCATATCAATTATTTTACATAAAATCATATTTCAAACCACAAATTAATGTTCGACAGCCAAATTTAAGAAACAATACCAATACAGGCTTACAGTTTAAGGCTCGACATTGTGTTGTCTACGATTAGACAGCTGATAACTCATTCCCGTACGTCGTATGGTCGTAACACTATAATGACCTTTGCTTATTGTCACAAGTGCGCCGCATTCGCGATTGTTGCCCGACGCCTGTTTGCAGGTGAGCCCACTACAGTTGTTATGCATATCTAAAAACCGATAAACTTTTAGGCGAAAAAGGCACTATTCCAGGCCCATTTTTGATTTTTTTTACGATATTAGGTAAAAACAGAAGCTTCTTATCCTAGGAAAAATAAAACGGGAAATCTTTCAAAGGTGGCACACTACCTTTAAGTGTAAGGGCATGATTGTCTTTTTGAACGATGCATCAATAGAAATAAAAAGGTTTAGCACTATGTTGCATCAGTCCGATCTAACCCAAAGACCTCCATAAAGGCCCATATTAGTTAGGGTCCTCTGCCTCCTTGATAACGACGCAGCTGGAGCTCGGGTTATATACTTATTGGTAGCTTTAGACCCCTTGGACAACGTCCAAAAATAATCTTCATCAGCCCCCAAGTGTGTAAATTGGTGGGTGGTAGTTAACAAGGGTAAAGGTAGTTAACAAGGGTAAGGGTAGTTACAACGGTGATAGTTGACACTGCAGTGCAGTGCAACTGTTTTCCACCGAATCACTGCGTAGCTCGGAAACCCCTCCCCGATACACCCAAAACACCGACTCGCGGCGGCGCAATATATTATTCCGTATTCTCCTAGCCATCTTGGGACACGTCTCGTCTTTAAAACGCCTCGCGCACGCGGCAACCGCCGAGATAGGTCTCTCAATTATTACTTCGACGGCCTGCGGGTACAAAATCCGAGTACAAAATTTGTACGTACACGACGGGACGACACGAGCACAAGAGCCGAGTCCGATCGCGATTCGGGGGATGGCACTTGTCAGACTCACGCAATCCACACGCATACTAACGCGCACACGCACACATAGGCGACTCGGATCGCGGATTGGCACTGGTTTCGTCGTATAGAACAACGTCGCACGACGGGGTACGAATTCAACATTCACCGTAGCGCAACAACGCAGGTAGCGGCATCGGCGAGAGGGTTATTTACCGTACGGCGGCCACGGCCGCTGGCTGTGGCGTCACAGATCAATGTTAACCGTACACACACGCTGCAGGGCGGAATCTGACAACTACGGACCGGGAACTAAGTATATGCAGCGGCATAAGGCCGGTATAAAACGCCCTACGGTGTCTAAGGTAGCACGTAAATGTAAATGAAGGTACACGCTGTCGCTAAAGCTAAAACTCAATCAAGCAGCTCTGTTCGAGGCTCTTCGATTAGCCATGGCTAACCAATCAGGAACGAGCATCAGCAAAATTAGAAGTAGCCACAACTGCCGCTTACGCGTCTCGCGAACAGTTTCTTCACTGAACTGACAAGTCGGCAAACAATCGAGTTTCGAAGAAAGACAAAGCTATCAATACTAAACGATGTACAAACAGGATTTGCTGCGCTAAACTCGGGTTGCAGCTGCTGCGGCACATGCTCTGTCTACATTGGCAATATACAGCAAAACAGCGCAATATCCACCGCATCAGTCGACTCTTCACTCTTCAGCACTGAATGGCGCACGATGCAAAGGCGGTACCCTCCACGGACGCGGGTTCAAATCCCACGAGGTGCCGACTTTTCCGTGACACTCACCTCTCAGACAGCTGAGGTGAAGTATGACGTCACGACCGACCCATTTTGACGTCCTATGTGATGAATTCTGACGCCATGAACAATGACGCCATTAGTCTTCAGGGAGACTGGAAGCATTATCTCTGGCGCAATGAGTGAGAACCAGCGTCCAGATTTGATTTTCTCACATGCATCCACTTAGTAGGAGTCACATGCCCTTCAATATGGCCACTAACACGCAAACACACGCTCGCCGATGTAAGCAAGTACGCTCATACGCGCACATGTGCGCTTGAACGCACGGGTGAACTCGCCCCTAGTCGAGCCATTCGTCAAAACTTATGACCACTTTCATCTCACGGATCCACTACTCATGCCTCCTTTCGCACTTGTCACACTCTTCCGCCGCTCCAGCGCGATAAAACTTTTGTCGCTGTCGGGATTCGAACCCACACTCGCGCGATGTTTTTTTGTCGTCTCCTGGATTCGAACTCACGCTACAGGTGGACTCCTGCTGTGGTGACGGCGTGTAGCTCGTTCTTCAGCGCGGTGATCAGGTGCTTTTTGACGGTCAGAGCGCGTAGGCGGGCGCCGGGTTTCTGGCGCCAACAGTCGCGCATGATTCGCGCCAATTTCGTCAGCGCCTGCAGAGGGAACGGGTGTCAAATCGACGACGATTTTCACTTTTATTACGTGATTTTGGTGAAAACAAAGGAACATGTCCTGAGGAAATACAAACATAATCGAAGGCTCTTAGTTCATTAATATCAGAAATTCACTGTTTTCTTTTTTTCTTGCACTGAGCATTTATCCTAACTGCTACTAAACGTCTAACTAAATAAATAACACGACGGATCACGTGAAACAAATTACTGGCAAAATCGGAAAGAACGAATTTCCTGAGGCCCCTAAAGTCTCAACCACCGCCAACAAAACTCATGTGCTTCAGCAACCGGCGAGAGAATATCCTCCTCCTCAGTCCTCGATCCCTTGCTAGGTGGGAATGTCTGACAACCTCGCTGCCCGCCGTCCCTCCCTCCCTATTTTCCTAGCGGATCCAGAAAGGCTTGGACGCTACAGGGGGGGGGGGCAAAACAGTTCAAAATTCCAAAAAATCATAACTTCGATTCCTTACGCACTGCTTTGCAGTTTCAATGTAACTTTTTCTCATAAAATCTATTTAGTTTTTTATTCTGGAAAAAACGAAACCTTTCGTCCATTTCGGACTTCCCCACCCCCAAGTGGGGGACATTTGCCCCCAAATGCCCCCCTGGACTCGCCAGCGCCTCCTCTCTTTCTCTTTCCTTCCCTCTCTCTCACCTGCGACTTGCTCCATCTCTCTGCAATGGGAGGCCGCACTTGTTTCTCACAGACCAGCTGATGCATATCGTCAAAGCTCGGGTCGGCTGGCACCATCCCGGCGTAGGGCACCGCATACGGCTCGTAGTCGCGCATCTTGTCTCCCGTGGCACTCCTAGAGAAAGATAGGGGAAGGGGGGGTCAGGGGTTAGAGACCTGTGATTTTTACTCTGCACCTGAAAAGGGGAATAGTTTTACTCTGAAAAGAGGAGAAGGAATAGTCACGAACTTTGTCCCCGGTAGCTGCACTTCTAATGGGAAGCCTTCTTAATCTCTCCACACAGAGCAGAAATCAGAACGGAGATCAGAGTATGCGAGCGCTCGGCTCTGATCTCTCTCTCCCCTCCCCCTCCCTCCCTCCCTCCCTCCCATCCCCTCCCCTCTCACCGTCTGGTTATCTCCCACATGACCAGGGCCAGGGAGTACATGTCCGCCTGTTTGAACACCTCTCCCCTCCCCTCTCACCGTCTGGTTATCTCCCACATGACCAGGGCCAGGGAGTACATGTCCGCCTGTTTGAACGCCTCTCCCCTCCCCTCTCACCGTCTGGTTATCTCCCACATGACCAGGGCCAGGGAGTACATGTCCGCCTGTTTGAACGCCTCTCCCCTCCCTCTCACCGTCTGGTTATCTCCCACATGACCAGGGCCAGGGAGTACATGTCCGCCTGTTTGAACACCTCTCCTCCCCCTCTCACCGTCTGGTTATCTCCCACATGACCAGGGCCAGGGAGTACATGTCCGCCTGTTTGAACACCTCTCTCCCTCCCCTCTCACCGTCTGGTTATCTCCCACATGACCAGGGCCAGGGAGTACATGTCCGCCTGTTTGAACACCTCTCCCCTCCCCTCTCACCGTCTGGTTATCTCCCACATGACCAGGGCCAGGGAGTACATGTCCGCCTGTTTGAACACCTCTCCCCCCCTCTCACCGTCTGGTTATCTCCCACATGACCAGGGCCAGGGAGTACATGTCCGCCTGTTTGAACACCTCTCCCCTCCCCTCTCACCGTCTGGTTATCTCCCACATGACCAGGGCCAGGGAGTACATGTCCGCCTGTTTGAACGCCTCTCCCCTCCCCTCTCACCGTCTGGTTATCTCCCACATGACCAGGGCCAGGGAGTACATGTCCGCCTGTTTGAACGCCTCTCCCCTCCCCTCTCACCGTCTGGTTATCTCCCACATGACCAGGGCCAGGGAGTACATGTCCGCCTGTTTGAACACCTCTCTCCCTCCCCTCTCACCGTCTGATTATCTCCCACATGACCAGGGCCAGGGAGTACATGTCCGCCTGTTTGAACACCTCTCCCCTCCCCTCTCACCGTCTGGTTATCTCCCACATGACCAGGGCCAGGGAGTACATGTCCGCCTGTTTGAACGCCTCTCCCCTCCCCTCTCACCGTCTGGTTATCTCCCACATGACCAGGGCCAGGGAGTACATGTCCGCCTGTTTGAACACCTCCCCCTCCCCTCTCACCGTCTGGTTATCTCCCACATGACCAGGGCCAGGGAGTACATGTCCGCCTGTTTGAACACCTCTCCTCCCCCTCTCACCGTCTGGTTATCTCCCACATGACCAGGGCCAGGGAGTACATGTCCGCCTGTTTGAACACCTCTCCCCTCCCCTCTCACCGTCTGGTTATCTCCCACATGACCAGGGCCAGGGAGTACATGTCCGCCTGTTTGAACACCTCTCCCCTCTCACCGTCTGGTTATCTCCCACATGACCAGGGCCAGGGAGTACATGTCCGCCTGTTTGAACACCTCTCCCCTCCCCTCTCACCGTCTGGTTATCTCCCACATGACCAGGGCCAGGGAGTACATGTCCGCCTGTTTGAACGCCTCTCCCCCTCTCACCGTCTGGTTATCTCCCACATGACCAGGGCCAGGGAGTACATGTCCGCCTGTTTGAACACCTCTCCCCTCCCCTCTCACCGTCTGGTTATCTCCCACATGACCAGGGCCAGGGAGTACATGTCCGCCTGTTTGAACGCCTCTCCCCTCCCCTCTCACCGTCTGGTTATCTCCCACATGACCAGGGCCAGGGAGTACATGTCCGCCTGTTTGAACGCCTCTCCCCTCTCACCGTCTGGTTATCTCCCACATGACCAGGGCCAGGGAGTACATGTCCGCCTGTTTGAACACCTCTCCCCTCCCCTCTCACCGTCTGGTTATCTCCCACATGACCAGGGCCAGGGAGTACATGTCCGCCTGTTTGAACGCCTCTCTCCCCCCTCTCACCGTCTGGTTATCTCCCACATGACCAGCGCCAGGGAGTACATGTCCGCCTGTTTGAACGCCTCTCTCCCCCCTCTCACCGTCTGGTTATCTCCCACATGACCAGGGCCAGGGAGTACATGTCCGCCTGTTTGAACACCTCTCCCCTCCCCTCTCACCGTCTGGTTATCTCCCACATGACCAGCGCCAGGGAGTACATGTCCGCCTGTTTGAACACCTCTCCCCTCCCCTCTCACCGTCTGGTTATCTCCCACATGACCAGGGCCAGGGAGTACATGTCCGCCTGTTTGAACACCTCTCTATCCCTCTCACCGTCTGGTTATCTCCCACATGACCAGTGCCAGGGAGTACATGTCCGCCTGTTTGAACGCCTCTCTCCCCCCTCTCACCGTCTGGTTATCTCCCACATGACCAGGGCCAGGGAGTACATGTCCGCCTGTTTGAACACCTCTCCCTCCCCTCTCACCGTCTGGTTATCTCCCACATGACTAGGCCAGGGAGTACATGTCCGCCTGTTTGAACGCCTCTCCCCTCCCCTCTCACCGTCTGGTTATCTCCCACATGACCAGTGCCAGGGAGTACATGTCCGCCTGTTTGAACACCTCTCCCCCCTCTCACCGTCTGGTTATCTCCCACATGACCAGGGCCAGTGAGTACATGTCCGCCTGTTTGAACGCCTCTCTCCCCCCTCTCCCCTCTCACCGTCTGGTTATCTCCCACATGACCAGTGCCAGGGAGTACATGTCCGCCTGTTTGAACGCCTCTCCCTCCCCCTCTCACCGTCTGGTTATCTCCCACATGACCAGGGCCAGGGAGTACATGTCCGCCTGTTTGAACACCTCTCCCCTCCCCTCTCACCGTCTGGTTATCTCCCACATGACCAGGGCCAGGGAGTACATGTCCGCCTGTTTGAACACCTCTTCCGTCCCCTCTCACCGTCTGGTTATCTCCCACATGACCAGGGCCAGGAGTACATGTCCGCCTGTTTGAACACCTCCTCCCCTCCCTCTCTCACCGTCTGGTTATCTCCCACATGACCAGGGCCAGGGAGTACATGTCCGCCTGTTTGAACACCTCTCCCCTCCCCTCTCACCGTCTGGTTATCTCCCACATGACCAGGGCCAGGGAGTACATGTCCGCCTGTTTGAACGCCTCTCCCCTCCCCTCTCACCGTCTGGTTATCTCCCACATGACCAGCGCCAGGGAGTACATGTCCGCCTGTTTGAACGCCTCTCCCCTCCCCTCTCACCGTCTGGTTATCTCCCACATGACCAGCGCCAGGGAGTACATGTCCGCCTGTTTGAACACCTCCTCCCCCCTCTCTCACCGTCTGGTTATCTCCCACATGACCAGGGCCAGGGAGTACATGTCCGCCTGTTTGAACACCTCTCCCCTCCCCTCTCACCGTCTGGTTATCTCCCACATGACCATAGGCCAGGGAGTACATGTCCGCCTGTTTGAACACCTCTCCCCTCCCCTCTCACCGTCTGGTTATCTCCCACATGACCAGGCCAGGGAGTACATGTCCGCCTGTTTGAACGCCTCTCCCCTCCCCTCTCACCGTCTGGTTATCTCCCACATGACCAGGGCCAGGGAGTACATGTCCGCCTGTTTGAACACCTCTCCCTCCCCCTCTCACCGTCTGGTTATCTCCCACATGACCAGGGCCAGGGAGTACATGTCCGCCTGTTTGAACACCTCTCCCCTCCCCTCTCACCGTCTGGTTATCTCCCACATGACCAGGGCCAGGGAGTACATGTCCGCCTGTTTGAACACCTCTCCCCTCCCCTCTCACCGTCTGGTTATCTCCCACATGACCAGGGCCAGGGAGTACATGTCCGCCTGTTTGAACACCTCTCCCCTCCCCTCTCACCGTCTGGTTATCTCCCACATGACCAGGGCCAGGGAGTACATGTCCGCCTGTTTGAACACCTCTCCCCTCCCCTCTCACCGTCTGGTTATCTCCCACATGACCAGGGCCAGGGAGTACATGTCCGCCTGTTTGAACACCTCTCCCCTCCCCTCTCACCGTCTGGTTATCTCCCACATGACCAGGCCAGGGAGTACATGTCCGCCTGTTTGAACACCTCTCCCCTCCCCTCTCACCGTCTGGTTATCTCCCACATGACCAGGGCCAGGGAGTACATGTCCGCCTGTTTGAACACCTCTCCCTCCCCTCTCACCGTCTGGTTATCTCCCACATGACCAGGGCCAGGGAGTACATGTCCGCCTGTTTGAACACCTCTCCCTCCCCTCTCACCGTCTGGTTATCTCCCACATGACCAGGGCCAGGGAGTACATGTCCGCCTGTTTGAACACCTCTCCCCTCCCCTCTCACCGTCTGGTTATCTCCCACATGACCAGGGCCAGGGAGTACATGTCCGCCTGTTTGAACACCTCTCCCTCCCCTCTCACCGTCTGGTTATCTCCCACATGACCAGGGCCAGGGAGTACATGTCCGCCTGTTTGAACACCTCTCCCTCCCCTCTCACCGTCTGGTTATCTCCCACATGACCAGGGCCAGGGAGTACATGTCCGCCTGTTTGAACACCTCTCCCCTCCCCTCTCACCGTCTGGTTATCTCCCACATGACCAGGGCCAGGGAGTACATGTCCGCCTGTTTGAACACCTCTCCCCTCCCCTCTCACGTCTGGTTATCTCCCACATGACCAGAGCCAGGGAGTACATGTCCGCCTGTTTGAACACCTCTCCCCCCCTCTCACCGTCTGGTTATCTCCCACATGACCAGGGCCAGGGAGTACATGTCCGCCTGTTTGAACACCTCTCCTCCCCTCTCACCGTCTGGTTATCTCCCACATGACCAGGGCCAAGGAGTACATGTCCGCCTGTTTGAACACCTCCTCCCTCCCTCTCACCGTCTGGTTATCTCCCACATGACCAGGGCCAGGGAGTACATGTCCGCCTGTTTGAACACCTCTCCCCTCCCCTCTCACCGTCTGGTTATCTCCCACATGACCAGAGCCAGGGAGTACATGTCCGCCTGTTTGAACACCTCTCCCCTCCCCTCTCACCGTCTGGTTATCTCCCACATGACCAGCGCCAGGGAGTACATGTCCGCCTGTTTGAACACCTCTCCCTCCCCTCTCACCGTCTGGTTATCTCCCACATGACCAGGGCCAGGGAGTACATGTCCGCCTGTTTGAACACCTCCTCCCCCCTCTCTCACCGTCTGGTTATCTCCCACATGACCAGGGCCAGGGAGTACATGTCCGCCTGTTTGAACACCTCTCCCCTCCCCTCTCACCGTCTGGTTATCTCCCACC